AGAAGCCAGAGAAGACTAGGACAAAGAGGGGAGAGACTAAGATGATGACCTAGAGGAGGCACATGGAGCAGGGAGACGTGCAGAAGCTGCACTTGCTCAAATAATGTCAGTGAAGTTCCACTGTAAATAATGTTCTTTGCAATTACTGAAACTTGTGATGAGATTTTCTTATATATCAGTTTAAAGTTTAAAGATACAAATTTTCCAAAGTTCTTCTGGGGAAGAGCTATCAAAGTGTGTGAAGACCTCTGCGGATCATGGCCAGAGGCTGACCGCTCACAGCGGCTATGAGGACACAAGCGCTCAATCAGGAGCCTAACACTGGGCGACCACCTCAACTCTCAGCACTGGTCTGCTCAAGACACCCCACACTGGTCCGAGAGCAATGAAATCCCTCAAGGCTGAGGAGAATCTTTTGTCCCTGCCTAAGTCCTTCGCCCTTTCCTAATTGAGGAACAGATCATTATGCCCCAAGGTTCTGCCCTCTCCTAATGGGAGAAAGAATAATTTCTTAACCTTTTTGATATAGAAAAACATAGTCTTGGTGGCAGTCAGGTGTCACTGACAAATGTAGGTCTACCGTTGAACATGTCCTCTACCTGAGCATCTCGTCTTTTCCCTATGGATGCAGAAGCCCCCTTCTTGGGTGTCATGTAGAGTATCCCTCTCTCCCACATCTGGATGTATCAAGTCCCTAAACATGGGATAAATATCCCTGGTCTGCTCCATTATTCCTTGAAACTTACAACCATGTATATTCTCCATATCTGCTGTTAAATTTTGATCTTTTCTCCAACTATCTGTTTGATGTTAACTTATTCATTAGTTCAGTCTTAAAAGAACCTAGACCAGGGCCCTCCCTGGTGGCGCAGCGGGTTAAAGTACTGCACTGAGAAGCTAAAGCCACTTCCGCATGAGTTCGATTCCTGCCTGCCCCGGAGGTGACCACATGGTGTGGCAGACCTCTCCTGACCCGCCTGCTGCTCCCCTCAGCAGTGTACTTCGTCCATCTGCCTGTTCTGCTCCCCACTCTGTCTCTGGTGAAGCCTCTCACCGCCCCGAGCCTCTGGCCTGTACCCCAGTTCTGTATGCATAAATAAATAAATCTTAAAAAAAAAAAAAAAAGAACCCAGACCAGGTGGGGAGAAATTTCCTCTATTTGCCAACAATCAGCCACTAGAGAGAACATCACTTCCTAGAGTGAATTTAAATGGGCAAGAGAAGGAACTTGCATTTTTCTTCCCATATTTGCAAACAGGCAATTGTTTGATGAACTTTTCTTATAATATATAGGCTCTTCTAACAAGGTAACACATACAGTAACAGGACCACCACTGATCACAACGACTCTCAAAAACAAATGGCAGCTTTGAGCCTGGCCTGGCTTCTGCATGTCTGACTCAGGATCCACAGTCCTCACACTCTGCCAGGAATGGGGGAGAGCACAGGAAGCTACTGGCACAGGCTGCTCTCAAAGTCTGACCGTTAATCTCAGGTCTGGCAGATGGGAATGGAAAAGGGCATTACTAAGGAGTTTCCTCATAAAAAAACTGTTTACAATCTGAGAATTTGTTTTGAACAAAAGCTCTTCCTGTATGCATTTTTCTCTGCTGGGCCTTCAAGCATTTCGATGAATTCATCAAATTGCTGTATGAAGCACTGAGGCTCAATATGTGGATGGCTAGATGACGGGAATCTGTTCATCAAATGGCTTCCAAAAGGAACAAAAAACCAGGATAAAAAAATTATCAAATTTCTTCAGGTAAAATATGGAATAAGGGTCCTCCCTGGTGGTACAGAGAACAGCACTGAGAGGCTAAAGCCACTTCCGCATGAGTGTGATCCCTGCCCCAGAGGTGATCCCCATGGCGTGGCAGACCTCTCCTGACCCGCCCGCTGCTCCCCTCAGCAGTGTACTTCGTCGATCTGCCTGTTCTGCTCCCCACTCTGTCTCTGGTGAATCCTCTCACCGCCCTTGTACCTCTGGCCTGTACCCATGCTCTGTATACATAAATAAATAAACCTTTAAAAAATATATGAAATAGGACCTCCCTGGTGGCTCAGCGGATTAAAGCACAGCATTGAGAAGCTAAAGCCACTTCAGCATGAATCGATTCCCGCCTGCCCAGGAGGAGATCCACATGGCACGGCAGGCCTCTCCTGACCCGCCCGCTGCTCCCCTCAGCAGTGTACTTCATCAATCTGCCTGTTCTGCTCCCCACTCTGTCTCTGGTGAATCCTCTCACCCTCCACACCTCTGGCCTGTACCCCAGTTCTGTATGCATAAATAAATCTTTTTAAAAAAATTTTTAAAATGTATATGGAATAATACTTTTGCATGCTTACTGACTACTATTATACACATCATAGTCCTGGTTCTTTTAAAATATTAATGCTTTTTTTTTGAAGCAGTTTCATTCAATAAAACATTTACTATTACTCTTTTGTACTTGGAAAAAATCTAACTCCCCTATAATTGAGAACTACTACTTAAGGTACAGATTTGTTCTCTGAAAGAACAAATATGAATATCTATCTTAAAGCCATTCCTGATATTAAATTTCAGTTATATGAACTTTGGCCACATTTTCTAATTTCTTGCATTTGTTATTAAATTTTGACCAAACATCTTGAATTTAAAATAACTAGTTATTTCTGATTAAACATTAGATAAATGAAACAATTTTGGCTTAAACTGCCCAGAAGAAACCCCAGTTCTGACTCTGTTACTAGCAAGTGACCTGGCGTCTTAGTGAAATTCTCAAATTCTCACAGTCATCTTAAAATGTGAATAGTGGGCCTCCCTGGTGGCATAGGGGTTAAGTCTCAGTGCTTTCAATGATATGGCCTGAGTTTGATCCCTGGCCAGGGAGCTGACCCACATGGTGCAGCAGACCTCTTCTGTCTCGCCCACTGCTCCCCTCAGCAGTATATTTCGGTCTACCTGCCTATTCTGCTCCCAACTTTCTCTGGTGAATTCTCTCACTCCCTATACTATACTCTGACCTACAGCCCAGTTTTTCTACACAAAAATAAATAAATAAAATTAAAATCTGAATACCTTTACAGGTAACTTGAGAAATGAATTACTGCAGACAAATTGCTCCTTTTGGGCTAGGAACTGCTCAATCAATGACTAGCTGCCATTATTATCATACTGATGATAATAATAAAGCCTGGTGCTTAAAAAGTCTTGCCATGGTTTGAGTTTTCCTGAGTTGGTAATTTAAACTGTCAATAAATAGAGCCCAAGTATTGAGAATTCAAATACTTACTATTTTTATCTCCCCACCTTTTAATGTAAGCAGATCATGATAAATGTAAAAATGAACATTTTAGGTATCTAGTTAGCTCTTTTTTATGGACAGCCTGAGGATGTATCAGCACACCTCATTTCCACTTTTGTGTTCTATGACAACTGCATAAAGGTCACTGTGGTTAAGAAAGAGGGAATAAGATTTCCTACTTGTCGGTTTATTGGAGCATTATTAAATCTGGCTAGGCCTCAGTATCCAGACCTATAAAGTGGACACAGTAGTAAGTATATATTTATAGGTACTACCCACCCACACCCACAACAGCTCCTAAATCTACTTTATAGACACAAGTAGGGCCAACTGTGATGTCATTCCCAAGGCATGCAATTGATTCCGTGTCAAATGATATCAAAGAGTTGATGAAAGAATAACCCCCAATAAAGCATATCATGGAGTTAATGAAAGAATAACTACAATAAAGAAAATAAGTCAGTACTTCTTACTACCTTTCACCCAAGATTCACTTCCTTTACGGTCTGAATAAAACTTAGTAATTGCTTCACCTTGAAATATAATCAAGAATTTTAATTTTTTTTGCTTTTGACATCATTACATTTTCTAACTTTTTATAATGAAAATATTGAGACATAGGAAAGTGTTTTTACAGGTCTGCAGTAAGGCCAGGTTATGCATCAAAAGACCAAGGAACATTAAAAAACAAGTATGCCTCACAACACATCACAAAAGGCCCCTGGGTTGGAGAAGAATGTGGAAGGAACACACCCACGAGACACTCCCGTCATGGTGGCTCGCAGTTGCTATGAAGACCTTATGACTCCATAATTACTGGGTCCAGAGGAATGGATGTGGACTGGGACACTGCTGGAAACCTCCAGCCTAGAGCTTCCTGGAGGAAGGTAAACAAGCATCATGCGAAAACCTGGCAATGAGCACAGATTCACAGTGCTTATTAACAATAAAGAACTATAAACTGTTCCTCTGGGGTGACTGTGTTCCAAAACAGAACCTTTCCAGAAGAGGCTCTGAGGCGATTTTCTTCTTCTGAGACCCCAGAGATGCAAGACAATAGGCCTACAGGTTTCTAAGAAATCGCTACCTAAATCTGAGCAATCTTTATGATACCCTGAGAGCTGAGGGGGAGAAGAGGTAGTTATGGCACTTTCCATGAGCTGTGGGGCTCCACACCCAACTGGGGAAAGCAGGCAGCCCTGAAAATGAGGTCAGAGAAGAGGCCCTAGGGACAGAGTACAGGTTTTAAGTCCCTAACTTGGAAAACATGATAAAGTAGAGAGTAATTTCTCTCTGAAATCAAACAGCTATGTTAGCCCTTCTATTTTGGGGGTAAGGTGTTAAACACACAAAAGCCGTACAGGGCATTTACTCATTCTTCAGGCTGCAGTGAGACACAGAGCCAGGAAGTGTATCACAGACTTGTAATAGCATGGTTTATGCCTTGAATTAAAATAAAGGAAATATTTATTTCCTTAGGGAAGCAGGAATGTTGCTAGTTTTACAAAACCAGTACCTGTTCATACCCACAATGAAAGAAATACAGGCTTTTACATAAAACGTTGTACAACTGTGTTCTTGTACCAGTTCACAATAGGCATTCAGTCAAAGCCATTCATTCTATACTACAAAGACCATTCAAAAAGCCATGTGGTTTCCTGCCCAAGGAGCCCTCCTTGGACAATGGCTATGCTGTCATCACCCCACACTCACATGTCCTCCACGGTGATGTCTTTTAGGATCTGGCAGTAATCCACATTCCACACAGCCTGGTCGTCCCACACCTTGGAGGCCAGCAGGATTGCCCCTAGAACAATTCGCTTCCAGTTGGCCGGACAGATATAGATCTCTGCGTACGTTAGGAGTCTTTCAAGGTAAACCTGGGAAGACAGGAAGACTCCAAAGCTAAGTGACTTGGTTGTTTCCTCCTATATACTTGCATATGGAAAAAGAAATTGGAAATGATTTAACTCTATTTCACCAGCCTTTCAACAGGAATTTATTACCTGACTATACTTATTTTTAAAAAGTCAAGTGGTTCAGTGAGTCTGATGTGAAAAGGGCTACAGGACACAGCCCACCACGGAGAAGTGCGGCCGTAGCTGGAGCTTCGGTCTCTGGGGCAGGAAAAAACTCCAGGCGCCACTGATTGATTTCTCAAGCTTTCAACTATGATATCAATATACATTCACAGACAGCAAATACTGTAACAAAGAGAACAAAAATTGTGGAGGGAATAAGCTTATTTTTTTCCTGTGTTTTTGTTTTTTAAACACTTTACCTTGAAGTAAATGTAGATTCAAACACATTTTTTCTTAAATTGTGGAAAAATAAACATACAGGTTAACATTTTACTATTTTTGAGTGTTTAATTCTGTGGCATTATGTATATTTGCATTGCTGTGAAATCACCACCATCCATTTAGTTCCAGAACTTTTTTATCACCCCAAATTGAAACTTTGTGTCTGCCAAACAACTCTTCAACCAGCCACCACCTTCTTACTGTCTCTATGAATATGACTGTTCTAGGTAACTCATATAGGTGGTGTCAGAGTAGTATCAGTGTCTTTGCCTTTTTTCTTGTTTACTTTACTTAGCAAAATGTCCTCAAAGATTATGATGCTACAGCATGTATCAGAATTTATTTTTAAGGCCGACTAGTGTCTTGTGTGTGTGAATCTAACTATTTAAGTATGGTTTACTTAATTAACCAAGACAGATATTTTCTCACTTTAGCTATTGTCAAAAATGCTACTGTGAACACCTGTATTTAGGTATTCTATTTATAAACATCTTTCTTTGTGGTATGAATTTTAGTATTAAGCTCATTTGGTTTTCTTAACATTCTTTCTCCTTCACTGAAATGTCCCTACAGGAAAATTTCAGCCCTAAGCAAAAAAGTGATGGGTCAGATGGCATCAGAGGAAGATCCTGCACTGGTCTCAGGAAGATTATCAAAAGTCACCCAGAGAGGCACTGGATTCAGAGCAGCCCATGAGTTGGGGAGAAACCAGAGCATCTGCCAGACATTGAAGACTTATGCTGTCCATCTGTGACAAAAGAGATGCGGAGGAAATTCAACTCAATGCAACAAAAGCTGAGCTGTAAGAGGCCTCAAGACAGTGGCCAGGGCAGAAACTGCAAATCAAGATCAAGCTTCCATGATAGTGCAGTCCTGGGAGTACAGAGCTGTATAGTATGTACCTAACTGTGGAGAGAAATGTGCAAAAGAGCTAGGGTGAGACAGATACACAGGGACAGATTTAGAAGACAAAGTGCATAACACCACAACTTTCCCTAACACTGCCCTCTGAGCTTGTAGGTACACTGAAAGCCTGGCTCGGAGACTGTGGAGATGCAGGGGTGAAACCCAGAGAGGAGGGTTATCAATGGTGCCACAAGCAACAGCTGCAACCCACCCTACACCACTTTCACTAGCACTGGACACTTCCAGGCTCCTGCCCACCACCAGATGCAGCAGTTAAAGGTTAGCTCTCCAAGAACTATAATGCCATCCATTGTAAGTCAATGTCCTGCACTCTTAACACATTGAACAATCTAAAAAGCTAATAATAGGAAAATGATATAAACAACACATGGCACCTTAAGTACTCAGTGGATTATTTCATGACTGATAAGAGTATAAATCTTCAGTAAACAATCACAAAGACATGTAAAATCTTTTTTCCCTCTCATTGTTAGTTTCAAATTGACCTAACAATGAAATCCAAGGAAATGGAAGAATACACAGAAAAACTGACTGAAGACATACAAGAAAATACAGAAAAACTAATGAATGCCCTGAGAAATAAAACTAAAGATGACTGAAACTGAAGCCCTAAGTAAGAAAATAATGGAAACTTGAGATATAAAAGATCAATGGAGTAGAAAAAATTATAACAAAAACTGTGGAAGTAGAAAAGACCGAATGGAACGTCAAATTAATAGCCTCTAAGATAATAAACAAAGACATTCATGGAAGAAAGACAAATACAAAGGAAAAAGAAGAGGAAACACTGAGAATTATCCCACTATATGAGTAAAGGTAACAAGAATAATGAGTAGTCTAGAAGGAGAAAAGGGAATAGGAACTTAAAAAAGTAATAGGGGAAGAGCTCTTAAACCTGGAGAAGGCACTAAATACATGTTTATGAAGCTAAAAGAACAAGGGGTCACTTAAATGTAATGAGACACACCAAAACAAATAGTAGTGAAACTTCAAAGAATTCAAAACAAAGAAAGAATACTCAAAATAGCCAGATACCTGACTTCACTGAGGAAACACTACAGGCAAGGAGAGAACAGGAAAACATGATCAAATAAAGATAAAAAAAACTTCAAGTGAAGAATAATCTATCATCCAAAGCTCTCCTTCAGACATGAAGAAGAAATAAAAGGTCTCAGAAAACAGAAGCTGAAAGGGTTTGAAAACATTAGACCTTCCCTCCAAGAATTAGCGAAAGGAGCTCTCATATCTAAATTGGAGTGAAGGACATCCACAAGCATGAACAAGGAAACAGAACCAGAAAATTAGGACAAAATGACAGTAGCAAACCCTTATATATCAATAATCACTATGAATGGAAATGGACTGAACTCACCAATCAAAGAGCACAGAGTGGCCGGTTGGATCAGAAATCCAACTTTCTGCTGTCTCCAGGAAGTGCAACTGAGTTCCAAAGATAAACAGAGTTGGAAAACAATCCCACAAGCAAATGGGACTCAAAGGAAGGCAGGGACAATCATATTCATATCAGATAAAATTCATATCAGATAGATTTCCAGCTAAAAAAGATAACAAGACACAGGGATGGACATTATATAATGATTAAAGAGAACAACACATCAGGAGGATATAACACTCATCAATACATTGTCACCAGTGCAGGAACATCAAAATATATAAGGTAATCATCAAATCTAAAACCAGACACAGGAGAAACACAGTGGTGGTTGGGTATTTCACAACTCCATTTTCACCAATGGACAAATCAACCAGTTAGAAAATAAACAAGGACACAATAGCCTTTGACAAAGATTTAGACCACACAGGTTGAACAGATATTTATAGGGCGCTGCATCCCCCCAAAAGCTGAGCATACATTCTTATAAAGGGCATGCAGGACATTCTCCAGGACAGACCACATGTTGGGATACAAAACAAGTATCAATAAATTAAAAAAGACTGAAATCATAACAAGAATCTCTTCTGATAACCATGGTATTAAAATAGAAAACAAGCAAAAAGACGGAAGAAACTCCGACTGGGTTCATGACAGAAATAAAACATACTTTCAGACAAATGGAAATGAGCATACAAGATACTGCAACCAACAGGACACAGCAAAAGCAGCACAAAGAGGAGAGCAGAGAACAATAAATGTCCACATCAAGAAACAAGAGCAAAATGAAACAATCTTAGTTCTCATTTTGAGGAACTATAAGGAGAAGAAGCCAAGCCAAAGCCAGTAGAAGGAAATGAACAAAATGAGAGTAGAAATAAATGAAGTAAATTCTCAATGTCCAAACGATTAAGGAAACCAAAAGCTGGTTCTTTGACAAAATAAGAAAAATGGGCAGACTTTTAGCTAGTCTCACAAAAAAGGGGTGACAAATCTAAACAGAATGAGGAATGAAAAAGTTACTCGATTTCTGATGACTCAGAAATTTAGATGTTCTAAAGATTTCTATGAACATAGAAGAGAAGGACAAGTTCTTAGAACACAGTCATCTGAGACTGAATCAGAAAGGAAGTGAAAACCTGGACACCAATTACGTGCAAGAAAATTAATACAAAAGTCCCCTGAAATACAAAAGTCCAGGACCAGATGGTTTCACCATTGAGTTCTACTAACCTTTAAAGAGGAGCTAATACCTATCCTTCTCAAACACCTCCAAAAAATTGAGCAACAGAGGATATTTCCAAACACATTTTATGAGGCCAACTATAATGTAATAACAAAAATAGATGAGGATATCACAAAAAGAGACAACTACAAGACAGTGGCAAAAATCTTAAACAGACCAAATTTAGCAATCTTTTAAAAAGGATCATACACCATAATCAAGTGGAATTTAATCAAGTGGAATTTATTTCACAGAAACATGATTTTCAACAGTTGAAAATCATCAATGTAATTCTCACCATTCCATAAAAGTAAAGACCATAACAAAATAAAGGCCATCCATATACAATACATCTACAGGTAACTCAGTTTGACCTGAAAAACTGAAAGATCTCCTACTAAGAGCTGGTACAAGTCAAGGATGTCCACTTTGTTCAACACAGTACTTGAAGTTCCAGTTAAAGCAACTGGGAAAGAAAAGGATAGTAAAGGAATCCAAATTGGGAAAGAAGTAGTAAAGTTGTCCTTACTTGCAGATGACATGATAATACACATAGAAAACCCTAACGACTCAAAAAACTATTAGGGGAAAAAAAAAAAACATGTCAACAAAATGGGCGATTACAAAAATCAAAGTACAAAAGTTGGCTGTCTGTTCAGTGATCTAGAAGAAAAAGGAATCAGAAAAAAAAATCCTATTTATAATTTTGCATTATAAAGAATTAAATGCCCAAGAGTGACTTTGACAAAGTAGATGAAAGATCTGTGCAATGAAAACTATAAGATATTTTTAAAAGAAATAAAAGAAGATGCAATGAAATGGAAGGCTAGCCCCAATTCATGGACTGGAAAAACAACATTATTAAAATGACCACCTTACCCAAAGCAATATAGATCCAACACAATTCTTACCAAAGTTTCAATAGCATTATTCAAAGATATAGAATAAACTATTATTATTGACTCTTGTCCTTTTGGCTAAGACCAAGTGTAGAACAAACCTTAATATAGGCACATGGAACCACAAAAAATCCCAAACAGGCAAAGCAATACTGACCAAAAAAACCGGCACCTCTTAGGAAAGCTCATCTACGACAAAGAACTTAAGAGTATACACTGGACAAAGGAAACCACCTTCAACAAGTAGTGTTAGAAGAACTGGATGGTATATGCACAAAAATGAACTCAAAATGGATAAAAGACTTGAATGTATGACCTGAAATCATAAAAGACATAGTAGAGGGCTTTTCCTGGTGGCACAATAGGTTAAAACACCTCATTATGAAGCTCTCCAAAGCCACAGTAGCACAAGTTCAATCCCTGGCCAGGGAGCTGACCCACATGGCGTGGCAGACCTCTCCTGACCTGCCTGCTGCAACCTCAGCAGTGTACTTTGTCAGTCTGCCTGTTCTGCTCCCCACTTGGTCTCTGGTGAATCCTCTCACCCACCACACCTCTGACCGGTATTCCAGCTCTTTAAACATAAATCAATAAATCTTAAAAAAAAAAAAAAAAAAGAAGAAGAAGAAGAAGAAAATATTGGCAAGACACTCCATAATACAGGTTTCAGTGAATGTCTTTATGGATTCATCTCCAACAGCAGGAAAAATAAAAGAAAATATGAACAGTTGAAACTAGTTCAAATGAAAAATTTCTGCACAGGAAAAGACATTCTTGCTAAAATAAAAAGACACTCTATTGAATGGGAAAGAACCCAACAAAAAGTTGATATCCAAGATCTACAAAGAACTCATATAACTCACAAAAAGAAAATCAAATAACCCAATGAAAAACGGAGAAGATAATCCAAGTACTTCTCTCCAAAGACATACAGATGGCAAAAAGCACATGAAAAAAATGTTCATCACTTATCATCAGAGAAACGGAAATAAAAATCAAAACCATAATGAGATACCAAATCATACCTGTGTGAATGGCAAAAAGACCAGACACTAGTTTTGGCAAGAATCTCGACAAAAAGGAACTCTCTTACACTTTTGGTGGGAATGTAGACAGGTCCAGCCTCTGGGCAAACAGTATGAAGGCTTCTCAAAATATTAAAAATGGATTTACCATATGACCTAGCAATTTTACTTGAATGCAAAACACCAACTCAAAAGGAAGTATTTACTCTTCTGTTCATTACCTCACAATTTACAATAGCCACACTACAGAAACAGCCTTGGTGATCAAAGACAGATGAGTGGAGCAGGATATGGTAGTATATATAAGATGGAAAACGACCCATTTATTAAAAAAAAAATAAACTCGACTATTGCATAGTATCAAATAAAGCTAATAGAGGGAATTATGCTAAGCAAAATAGTTCAGAGGGAAAAACACAAATACCAGATGTCACTTATATGTGGAATATAGAGAAACAAAAAGGGTCATAAAAAAGCCAAGACAATAACAAATCCTTGAAATCTGATGGTAGAATTGAGGCTACCATAGATTAAGGTAGAGAGCAAAGTGGGGAGACTGTGCTAGGGGCCTCTGGGGAGATCCTACATCTCCAGATTAGAAACAATGTTACAAGTATACCATTACCTCAAAAAGAAAGAAAGTGTTAACACAGGAGAAATAACTGACAAAAAAAAAAAAAAAAAAAGGAAGAAAGAAAATTTCAACCCTGTTGTGTTTTTTCTTAGGAACTTGAAATCCTTGAGTAACAAAGCTGGGCAATAAAGTATGAATAAGAATGCTCAGTAATTTTAAATCAGCACATGATTACTTGAGGGACTGTTCTTATCTATAAGGTGGTAAGTTCATGAAACATGTCCATTTGATTAAACAATGGATGAAATGAAGAATTAATAAACATGTAAGATAACTACTGAGTTTGCTGAAGAGCACAAAGCTCTTTCTATGGCAGAGATAGTCTTTAAGTGTGATGTAAACTTTTATTAAACAACAATCTCTTCCCAGAAATGACAAGGAATGGCTTTCTGATTTCTTTCCAAAACAGCTCAGTCACAGGCAAAGCTAATTTCTTGTCTGAGTACACCACTAACAGGTCAGGAACAGCAGTTCCATTGTCAACACATCTAGCAAGGGCTTTAACCTAGATGGTCCTAAAGTCTAAGAATTTTTAAGAATTATAGATTATAGATTTTTACCTTAATACTTAAAGTGCAGAGTACCTCCATGTTGTCCCTGATATCTTACAGACTCACTGTTCATACAAAAGATGAGCTAGCAATATAGGCCACCCTTCCAATATAGGTATATTCATATAGGAAGCATGTTTTCAGCACATCTTAGTCATATTAAAACCCCCGTAGCAAACCACAAAAGGAAAACTGGATGTTAACAGGAATGACTTTTGTCCACTTTACCCCCTTAGTCCAATGTTTTACTTACCTGCATTTAATGCTTCAGCATTTATTGGCTTTTGATGTGACTTTATAACTGACTTTAAGTGGGAGTGAGACAGACCTTACATGCTTTTGGGAGGCCTATTCTTTGTTCTCCCAGAAAATAACCTTTAAGGCAAAGCTTGAACTATCCTAGGCTACCTGGTGAAGAGCCCCTGTTTGCTCCCCACTCCACAACTATAGGATGGCTCTGGTCATCTGGAAGGCACTCACCAGGGTGACAATGGCACATTCAGCTGTCAGTTGAGCAGCACTGAACAGTGTCCGAACAAACCGGTAAATCTGCTTCTGCTCTGGGTTGTGTTTGTCATAATCTGGTGGCACTTCGGATTTCTGAGGAAGGAAATATTTTCAGAAGACTGGCCATCCCATGAGAGCAAAAGAGAAATAATCAAACAATACTGTGAAAAGAAGAGATTACCGAAAGAGGGTGAAGGTTTTCATCAAAAATATCTAAGAGCATCCTTCCATCTGGGTCCCTAGTGGGAGAAAGAATAGAAAATGGAGTTTACTTTCTGTAAGGATGACTATCATTTAAGATAATTTTGGTCCAACTGTATTGCAAGAAACAGAAGGCTGTGCAAAATGTAAGAAATGCTGCCATTTGTTGAGTAACTTTTTGTGTATATAAGTCATATTAGTTATTAGTTTGAACTGTGAGAAATTGTGAACCATGCTTAGTTGAAATAAAAGTAAAAATCTAGTTTTTAACTTTGTAAGTTTTCAAATGACGTCAATTTAAGCAAAGAACTTAAATTTCTTCAACATGTTGCTGTGAGCAAAAGCTGATGAAACTTCTTAAGTCATAATACATGGTAGTTGACAGGAAAGAAATTCAAAGGTTAGTAATAGGCATTCAATATGTCCTAGAAATTAATGTGAAGCTTTCACAAAAACACAACTCAACCATTCATTACTTAGGAGGACAACTCTACAATCCGATCTAAAAATTTACAATCTGCATACAAATAGAAGATTGAGAACAGTACATGGCTCAGTTTTCATGTCTGCATAACAGAAATTGTTTTTAAAGCTTTGAGTGTTTATGACTGTGCTCATTTTTACTAGCCTATCTATATAAACACAGACAGCAAAGACTTAGATAAACCCAAGAAAAACACAGGTTCAACAGGCAGACTGGGGGTGGGAGGTATAAAGGGGGGTTGAACATATATAGACAGGTTATTCTGGGTGCACCTAGTTATACTTGTTTTACAAAGACCCAGGCTAGGACGAATGAGCTGAGCCTTCATCTCACTAAAGACCTCAATGTGAGCGATAAAGCCTGGCCCAGCATTCTATTTTCTTGGGTAGTTCAGCCCTGTTTAATTTTCTTAATAAATAAGAGAGCCCCCATAAAGTCATTCAGTACCTTAGAGAAACATTCACCAGAAGTAATTTTAAAAACAAAAATGTTGGTTCAAAAATATAAGAACCTGAGCTAAAATGACTCTGGGAATAAATGAACTCCTCTGAGAAGGGGATTTCCCTTCAGTTCCATTAAAATCTCTGTATCCCCCCTGAATAGCACCATCTCTATTAAACTAATCATCTGTCACCAGCTCTGAAGGTCGGGCCGGTATGATCCCCCAAGGAAAAAAACCTGTAGGCAATCATGTCACCTCTTCCCAAGAGACCTTCAGGCCACAATCTATACATTAGTCCTGCCTGTCTACAGATGCTCACTTTTTCAGTTGGAATTTCTCTACTTCCACTCAATTAGTTCTGGCCCAAATCCAACCTAGCCCAGCATACCATAAAAGGACTGAGTGATATTTTGCTTGGATTCACTTCCCAATTCTCCAGTTTAACAGTTGTATAATCTCAGCCAAATTATTTAATCTACCTCTGCTTCAGGAAGATTAAATAGTTTAGCTGTAAAATGGAGATAAGATCAATATCACTTCATGGAGTTGTTAACAAAGTAAGAGGCAAAGTTTAAAAGGTTGACCACAGTGGCCAGACTAAGCATTTATTAAGTCAGCTCTTATTTTCATACTATAAATTAATGTTGGGATCCATACTAGTCTAAAAACTAAAAAAATCACATAGAGATACTACAGTAAAACTGATTTGAGTATTTACCAAATTGATTTCCATTTCGTATCTGAGCGCTACTAATGGCAATAAATTGTTATTTAAGACAAGTATTTTATTTTTATTTATTTTTATTTATTTAATTATTACAAAAGTTTATTTTTACATCATTTTGCACATTTTTTTTTCCATCTCGATTGTAATCCCCGTGGGTTTCCCATCACCAAAT